CACACTTGAAATGCAGGAAATCCTACACTAAAAGGTGGTTTCGGTATATCAAATTCACGAAACATTATATCCTGCCTTCGTGGCGGGTGGTCAGTATTACAAAAAAAAAACACTCTAACGCAGGGATTCTCAACTTTTCCTCCATCATTAACCCTCTCGGCTTGATGTATTTCTCCATTTACCCCCTTACTTCCATACAAAAAATTCATAGCCATCATAAAGGGACAGAAAAACAAGAAGGTCAGAAAAAAAATATTATTCAGGTTTTGCACAAAAATAGCACACATAATTGAGATACTTGTTTGTGCATATCACGTATGATTGGTAAACAAAGACTGACAACCCTATTCGAAGATTGAGTAAGACATTTAAGTATATACATAACAATTATTCTGTGAAAAACTGTGTTAGAATTAACATGCCTATATATTGTGAAACTGAAAGATATGAAACTTGTGTTGGAATAGACTGCATGTATGTTGTTGCTGCCAGAATACGTTTTCCCATCTGTCAAGGTGTCTTTCACGTGTTGGATCAGCTATTATAATATGATAATTTGCATTTACTGACTGTACCAGAATTGAACATATTAAAGAAGAGTAGATTTAAACGAGCTTACATCTCATTTCTGAAGGTCGAACAGCTCAGAAATATCCTGGGTGATAATAAAGAAAAAGTTTGTTGTAGCCAGTTAAACATTCCAAAACTCTGGGCACAAACTATGCGGAAACCTGTTTAAGCAGGTTTGTTGAAAGCTGTTTTTTACCACGACCACAGAACGCCGCCGACGCCTGCCATTTTCTTTTTTTTTTTACAAGATGCACGCGATATGCGTGGTGACCTGATGAACCAGTGAGCATAGTTTTAATTACCTCGTGCTTCATGCAATCAAAATTTTGCGTAATGTAGTAAAAAAGGTTTTAAATGAAACTATTGAATTCGCTGTCACAGTAGTATTTTTGGGTTAGTTGTAATTGTAAATATGATATGATTCGTATCATACTTTGTAAGCTTTTACATTCCTGGTGAAATTAAAATGAACCTGAAATTATATATAACGTAACTCAGTTGCGTTACCTTTTTCCATGCACAAGCGTTTTTAGACAATACAGATTTTAACATTTGGTATGGTGGTGAAGAGGATTTTGGTTAGAATTTCAGAGACCATTTATAACTGGTTGAGTTTTATTATTTTGTGAAAACACCACAAATTCATATAGATGTGCTAAAATCTATCGATATTTATTATTTTCAATAGACGGATGGTGTTTTATAGGGAAACTTTTGTACTGCTAGTAATTAACATAAATGTAACATGTTTGATCATTTTTCTCTTTGTGGGTGCAAGTTCTTAGATATATATAACAATGAAGGTTATTTACAATTACAATACTATAGCGTTTATAAACCTTGATGAATGTATTGATACGAGCTTATCATTTTGTTTCTACGAAACACCTAGTGCATCTCTTAACAGATTATTTTAGTCTCTTACCATCTCGTAATTTTGCGCGAAATCCAACAACACAAAAATTTTATGTAGACAATCGTTATCTTTGTTGGAAAAAGAATAAATATTAACATTCATGAAAAAAAGTGATATAACTCTTAATTAAATTCCGAAAGTTGCAAAATACAACAATCGTTATACTAGTTTCGTCATGAACAAATGCTCGTTTATTGAGGATTTTGGTTTATTAAAACAAGAGGAAATCTTCAGTAGCCGTGGCACTTGAAATTATTTTAGGCAGGATTAGAGTAAATTAATCTATGATATTTTTCCCCCTTTTTATCAGCTATATTTTGTGTGCCGGCAATATCAAGCGTGGGTCATGCGTATACCCTATTTGATTTTATTACCCACCAGTTCTCTACCAGCCTACCTTCAAATTGAAATTATTTTAGGCAGGATTAGAGTAGGTTTATGTAAGAGACCTTGAGCGTGGTCAAATACATCAGTCGAAAGGGTTTGACCTCCTGAATCCAAAACTGTGATTAGATCTCAAGTCGGTCAAGAGATGAAGGATCTATGAGTTAAAAGTTTGTACAGTACTTGAAAAAAATCTCTTCATTCACTATGTTGAAACTTACCACCCATTACTTATATTTACTGCTAAAACTTCCTATTAACAGAATAGTGACTTTTTTTAGACATCGCTGTTGACAGTTCGGCAACTACATTTACAAGTAGCGTACATTACATAACTACAGACAGCCCCAAAGGACAACTTCTACATTTGAGACGTTTATGCTCTGACAACGCTTACTTCAGTTGTAAACCAACGACTTGAGTAATGATTTTAAACAACAGAACTATACCGATAAAATAATTAATAAGGCTAAACTTGACAAACTCAGTTTATCACAAGCTGATTGTCTGCACTTTAGTGACAAACCACACTTTGACAAAGTTTCGTTACACATCATTCATTAAATAGATAGATTACATCACAGGACTCTCTCTGATACTGTATTTGTATTCCATGCGAAAGACCAATTCACCTGTACATCAGAGTGCATAATTTATTGTATTTACCGTAGAAGCGTCATGCGGTTTTTCTTTTATTCTGGGGGGCGGGGGCACAGTGAGAACACAAAGGAATTTTGTTATCAGTGATGGATTAATAATAATAATTATACAAATAATAATACGTGGGTGCATTAACTTTTCATATTATTAAATTTCTGCTATTGGAAACCAATACAGATAAATATTGTGAACATATTTAATCAAATATTTATTCATGTATTTGGAATTACTAAAAACGTGTGTGGAAAGCATTGAGGTGGTGGGGTACTGTGCCCACTCGTGGCTCGTGGGCGCGACGCCACTAACTTGCTGTACAAAATGCAATCAAATCTACACTATCCTACCAAAAGTCAAGGGACACGGGTAATTATGAATAAAACATTTCTTTTTTTTTTCCAAGAAATTAATAACATGTTGGTCCACCTTTGGCCTTAATGACTGCTTCAATGCGTTTTGGAAGATGTCTACTTATTTTTGGATAGAAAGCTGGTGGTATTGTGTTCCATTCCTTCGTTAAAGCATTAGTAAGCTCCACTGCTGAAGAGGGCCGTCTTGGTTTTATCCTAATTCTGCGTTCCAGTTCATCCCAAAGATGTTCCAAAGAGGTCGGGGCTCTGTGCAGGCCACTGCAATGTTTCGATGTTATTTTTTTTTCAAACCACGCGTTCACAATCCTTGCTTTGTGACGAGGAGCGTTATCATGTTGGAAGATGTAAGAGCCAGTATTATAAAATTGCCACAATGTAGGACACACAGAATTGTTCAGAACATCAATGTAGGACTCAGCATTCGTGGATCCATGCACTGCAACCAGTGGACCTAGACCATGCCACGAGAAGCGCACCCAGACCATGATACCACCACCTCCAAACTTCACTGTTGGGATAACACACTCGGGTAATAAGCGTTCTCCAGGCATCCTTCATATCTGAACACTTTTTTCTACGAGGCTGTGTTTAGCTCCACAGTTCAATCTCCGCAGAACAAAACACGATGTTTTTGAAATAATTCTTCAATTCACGATATCTGAAATTGAGCCTGAATTCAACAGGTAAACTAATTTTTATTGTCCAGTTGACAGCGTCACTTTGTGACCTTTGTTCCCTCACAGTATTGGTCAGCTGTGACATCAAGTCAATTCCCCAATAGGCCATCAAAGTATATTACAGTGCCCATCCTTTTAATGCGGATGTTGTATATTACTGTAATATTCTCTCGGGTAGAATAGACATCATCTACTGTAGAGAACAAAGAAACGAAGCAATTAGAACAAAGGAACCTTAATGACGTTATGGACCACGTGATGCCGCCATTAAAGCACGGAAACTAAATTGCTCAAAAAATTTTAAAAATACCACTAAAACAGGAAGAACATGTGATATCAGGAATTCACATCCAGACCACACGGACTTGGTGACATGAATGTACTTTTCTAACCCTGTTTTTGACAATTGGCACCTTAAATCCTCTGTGGAAACAATATCCATTTTGACGAATTTTAAATTCTGTGTTATATCATTTATTGGTTTTTGTAACTTTATAATTTTGTTCTTAATTTTTATCTCATATCTGCTGGATTCGTACTAGTTCGTTGATATTTAATTGGTGTATGACTAAGCCAGAAAAAACAACGTTTTATTTCACATATCTTACTCAGTGTACGCGCCTCGTGTTCTGTTCGTTTCTAGAGCGTAATTTATAATTACGTGTTTTTATATCTAAATTTAAACGTTATTTAAATTGTGTATTTTTCATAACTAAGCCTGAAGAAGGACATGTGCCCAAAACGTGGCAAACAAAGAAGTTTTTCTTATAGATGTGTGTAGTAACTTTTCCAATATTTTAATTCTTTTACGTCTTTCAACCTTTTTCTGCAGTATGTTTTATGACACTTTAGTATTTTTACAACTAGCCTCTTCAGATTAAATTATTTGTTGGATTGTGTCACATTTATGTGTTGCATAAGAAATGTGAGTTACATATAACCTACTGTAGACAGTTTAGTACGCCTACAACTAATATCTTCAGGTTTAATTGTTTGTTGGATTATGTTTTGCGTTAGAAATGTAAGTGCCATATTTCCTATTATTGACAGTTTAGTATACATTCAGGTTTAATTATTTGTTGGATTCTGCGTTGCGTAAGAAATAAGTTTTTATATTGTCCATTATAAACACTATAGTATGCCCCCCCCCCAACTAACTTTTTCAGATATAATTTTGTGTTGAACTATGAGGTCTGTAAGAAATGGAAGACCCTTGTTACCCATTTATAGATACTTTAGTATGCGTACAATAAATTTGATAACGTTGCATATGCACTTTTTGATTCTTGCTGCAGATGTACACATGTAACCAAGCTCTGCACTTACTTGAGAGTTTTAAAGAAAACTTCATATTGCAGAACGTCATTAGTTATGTATGTTACTGTAGCTTGTCATATACATAATGTTAAAAAATCTTATTAACAGCGCCCGATGGAAAGCCCACTATTATATCTGCTCACAACACAAGTAGTTCTTCGGTACGTCTCCAGTGGGCACCACCTCACAAAGACACAATTAATGGAGAATTTTTAGGATACCGGATACTGTATAGGCCTCGCGACCGGCCAGGGGTTGAGAGAGAGAGAATATTAAGAAATTCCTCTTTAAAAGTAAGTATTTCATATTTTAGAATTAGGTGAAACGAGAGGTAGAACGCAAGTGTGTGTGATATTTTATTTTGAATTATCTCATGTAATTTATATAAAGGCTCTTTCATTCCATAACTTTTAATTTATGTCACTTTTACGGTACAATTGGTATGAGTAGGGGGAGTGCTACTCGTCTTTGCGGTCATGACTTGCCGTATTCTTTGATTGACTATGTACCATGTTAAACAAAGGATATGTTTCTTCCGTTCAACGTTTTGTAATTTGTTGTACGGATACAAAAAGTCTACGTCTCTTACCTGTTTCTTCAGCTTCTTATTTAACAAACATTAATTAATCCAAGTAATGATGACGTTTAGCTGAGATTATTTTGCGCGTGTGACTGGGAACATTACTATAGAGCACTGATTCTCAACCAGGAGTAAATTTACCCCTTGGGGGTAAAAAATTACATGGCAGGGGTAAATAATTGACGTACCTGATGATTGAATAATAATTCAATTAAATTAAATTTTGTAAAATGTGTGTGTGTGTGTGTGTGTGTGTGTGTGAGAAAGAGAGGGAGAGAATGCTAAGAATGTGGAATTATAATGTTCTTGATGTCAGACTCCAGCTTTTCGGTAAAGCCTGCATAGCACTGTCCGTTCTTAGTATTCTAAATACAACCCTGAGAAAATCAGGAATCAATTTAATATGATCTTAAAGCGTAATAGTAGAAGATGTTAGAAGAGAGAAGTTTATTACTTGTAACTCACGTGTTCGTGTTAAACATAATTGGTGTTGATTAAGCGAGATATTTATTTTACAAATCAGCTGTATACAGGCACAAGTTATCGTATATCTTACCTTCCCTAAGTGTAACTATGTAGTAGGAAGGCTTGCTGGGTTGACTAGCACCAATAGCGTTTACAGCAAGAATCCTAAAGGAATACACTGTGTAAGGCTGCAATCCAATGACTTGATAATTAGTCCTGTTGTCAGGAGTCAGGATTCCATTTGACTCCCATTGTCCTTTCTCCCCCACCCTGTAGAAACAAATGTTAAAAAAATATATGAAATACTTTTAAATTTTCATTGTCTAAGAATCAAATACTTTATAAAGGTTTATTTTTAATTTTCATGTTAATAATTTTTCGAGCTACTAGATAAACAGGACGTTATCTAAGGCTGATAGATTGGAAAAAGGGAAAACTACGAACTGTACAGCTCTCACTCAAAATATTACGCTTTTACAATGGAGAAATGACATTCCACAAAAAAATACGCTTTATGAATATCATACAAATGGTGGATTTAGCTAATTCACGTCACATGATAATTCACCAGGTTCGTATGATTTGTTTGTAGTTTAAGCACAAAGCTACGCAATGGGCTATTTGTGCTCTGCCCACCACGGGTATCAAAACCCAGTTTCTAGTGTTGTAACATTCGTATTGTGTTAATAACCTGTTTTTTTCATTACATTATTTTACTTTGAGTTTTGGTTACTGTATGAAGTATTGAGTACTTTTCTTTGTTTTCTCACATATGAGTACAATATAAATAAATTTATAATAAAAGTACCCCATGGTTTTAAAATATACATACATTATAAAACACTATTATATTAAAAACAATCAAAACCCAAGAATTTACATATCAATACTTTTATAATCAAAAACAGTGTTTCACCTATTGCAACATGGTCCCAGTTACAAGTGTGCAATTATGGGAGAACTATATTTAAACTACTGAACTCAGTTGAAAACATTAGTTCTAACACTGAAGCTCAAGGTGATTGCCAATCAGATCAAATTCACGATGATAAACAAATGTATGTGTATGGTACGAAGTTGATCTGTAAATGCGTGCTGCGGATATAGTTGAATGATAATGTAAACAATATGACTGAATTTTATTCGCATTCCATTGTGGTATGCAGGCATGCCGTGTTTTTCCTACTTCCTTAGTTAATACATAAATGACTGTAAATATTGAGCACGAATTCTTAATATAGAAAGATGGTTAAGGAACCAAACTAAATTCCTCTCGCCTAGTTACTCACGGAACAAGGTCATTCAACTAGGGTATCACACGTACTTTCTCATTAGAAAGATTGCTGTAAGGTAGAGCATACTGTATGAAAATCGACAGCGTCCTTTTCTCCTGAGAAATCAAGTGCTGCCCCATGGATACAATATCCCTCTTTTGAAGTGATAATAACTAGCATCCTGAGAAGAATAGTATTGTTCTTATTAATAAATAAGGTCATTTATTCTCAGTCTGGAATAATATTTTTTGAAAGAAAGGGTGATTTTGAGAATGATATATATAACATAAACAGAGCTCTATAGTAAAGGCGGCACACACTATGCACTTGCCTTTTAACAGTGATTGTGATTGTTTGAAATAAAGTATGTTTCATTGTCTTTAACTTTCTTTTTTATCACACTCAGTCGAGGTTAAGAGAATTCACATTTATACTCCACTCCACAATACATTTTCTGGGAAGCCCCCTGTTATATTCTGCAGTTCCAACCCAATTACTCAAAGGGAAATCAGTGAACCTGAAAATACCAAACACCACTGTGGTGGGGTAAAGAAAGCAGACATTTTAATTCCACTGACGTAGGCTATAACAAAAGCTGCATATATGGTTAAGTAATAACGAAACAACCAGTATTTCTAAACTACCGAAATATTTCAGACCTTTTTGCCAAGCAAACTTAAAAATTGGGTTGGGGACAATAAATTAAAATCTGAATGACTATAACATGATGAGTATAAAAATTATAAAACAGTCAGCTGATCTATTTATTTAGAAATTTCGCGCAAAGCTACATAAGGGCTATTCGCACAGCCGGACCTAATTTTGAACTGATGAGAATAGAAGGAAGCAGGTTGTCATAGGCTACTCTTGTTAGACCAAATAATGGGATTTGAACGTTACCCTTATAACGCAACCACGACCCCAAAATGCGGAGAGTGTTTTGTTTTCAACAGGAGGTGAACAATGAAACCTTGGATTCACAAGCCGGACGCGCTAACGACTAAGCCACGTCTGTCCCCAAAACAGTCGTCTTACTGCGTACACAGTTATTATTTTAGTAACAGAGCCGAGCTCAAACCTTACCGGAATATAAACGTTAAAACTCATTTATGATAATTACCAGAGCTGTGTGTGTGTTTGGATAATATGTGACATACCGTCACGATTAATAATCAATTATTATTCAGCACACTAACTAGTTATTTATTTAGTTGTTAATTTCAATAACTTTAAGTAAACACATTAAAATCTAAAGCTTTTCATTATGGTTGGTATTCGGAAATTTCATTTTTTGCACAACTTAACCAAGATGAAACTTAACTGTTTTACAGTCGCAGATGTGACTAAGAAAATTTAGTTTCTGGTATCATTAAATCGTGAACTTAAGAAGCCCAAGGATCACTTCAACAACTTTCGATAAACCCAACTTCATATTATGTCTAAAGAGCCGGAAAGTCAAAATACTTCGCACACGAAGTGGTGCAGTTGCACGTCCGGTGTCAAACATTTTCACTAGTAAGTGTACGAGTAAACTCACTCTATTAAGCTAAACACAGGTTGCTACATTTTTCTATTTTTGGTACATTTTATACGTCAATAACGTTAACTGTTGCTTTAATTCAATGTAAACGACTTATTGGTGTGTGGGATTATTTCAACGGCCTTTAAGCATTTTACAGAGGATAATACTAGTTCATTCGTTGATTTATCTGTTGGATCATATTCATACAGAACCTTTCTAAAACCGCTGAATAAGGTTGAAGACTTATTTGTGTAGAAATATATCCAATACATATATGAACACACCGCGTCGCACATGTAGGACAGTTATGTGGATTGGCCTAGTTTCTCATACACAGATTGTCATAACAGATTTAACAGCAAACATAACATATATATTGTCTAAAGAGCGACCGTAAACACAATATCATAAATGTTATCGCTACTATTCCATCAGCAAAACTAATAATTTCCAATCCTTAAAATATTCATACCTAGTAGCGACTCGGACCCTTATTGATAGAGCTTTAAATTATAAAAAAATAATAATAATGTGTAGAAAGCTCTATATTTTTCGTTAGCGTTGTTCATTGTCTGTTTTATAAATGGCATTGATTTCTCGTTATTCCGGAGTTCTCTCAACACGTGAGGTAAGTATCATAAAACTTAGCATGAGGAGAGCTGGTCCGTTTGTTTGTTAAAAAGACGAAAGCACTTAGAAGACAACCCATTCATTGGCCACTGAACAGAGAAAAAGAAAACAGAACGCCGAACCTATCTCACCAACTTGTTTGTCTAGTCATCACGTGATACAAGCTAGGGAATCCGCATTCCACGAAGAGCACACCACTAAATCACTCCTGTTGTTCTAATCCCCAAAAATTATCATATAGTTCTTTTCCTATCAAAATTTAATAATTATTTGTTTCGTATATTTATATATACCCAAATAGTCATCCCCCCAATAAACTGAAGTAACAGGTTCAATTTCTATAGGTACTTTTTAACACAGTTTAACTTGTATCGTAAAGCATATCAACCAGTATTTGTACGATAGAATAAAATTATAATGAACCATAAAGATAATAAGTTTAACTGAGTAAAATATTCTCCATTCTTTAACATATATACATTATTAATATTATTTTGGAACAAGAAAAGTAAAAGCACAGGTACGTTTTAGTTTTAACAGATATAATTATTGTGTAGCGCCATCTATTGAACATTTAAATATAATATGCTTTGACTTTGTTTTTTTGTGCAAACAGTCGGACTCTAATATGAGTAATTCAGTCGTTATATTCAACCTATCTCCGATCGCTACATTAACGCCTGGATGCATCCAGTATGAAACTGCATCAAACCGGAACAAATAGCCTCAATGCATTTTGGGCGAAACTGTGCAAAAACGAGCTTAAATTTTCGTCTTTCCATATCCTGTTGGTTAGATAATGAACGTAACATTGTTGTGTAATACAGATTTGATACTCATTGATTGCTTATCTGTGAAATGAAACCCGTGTTTTCGTTATATAAACTCAATGGATTCGTCAACATCCACTTTATAAACAATAATACCGGAAATTGACACCGCATGTTGTGATTGCATAAAATCTGCATATCTATAATTTCCACTGATAACCTGACATGTTTTATTATTATTGTTACGTCTGTGGTCGTTAGTTAATTTCCCGTATAATTTCTTTCCGATGAAACTTTAGCGATACAAGTCCTTTCTTAAATAAAACTAATTCATTCTTTCTCAGTACAACTTTGAAATTCACTTAATTTCAACGGTCACGCTATAAGTTAAACAAACGCTATAATTCACACTGAACGACTCACGCGCTCGACCTAAATGTCCGTCTTTATCTCTATCTGCAATTCAACTACATTACATTGTTGCCGTCACTTCTTGGCGGCTTATATATACAAGAATACCGCATATCTAGTAAACGCTCGAGGTTTCATGAACCTTCAAGAATATGACGTGTTACTAGCGTCACGTGACCCTGGCTGTCGTAACATTATTATTACTAGGCACATCACCAATTGATAGAGAACGCTAATAGGACTCATGATATATCATCATCTACTACTGGCTAGTGACAGTTCGTCTAAGTTCAGTGTTAAATTAGAAAGAAGTCATATAAAAACTGTACTTATAAAACTTGCTTTATACTTTGATGATAATGTTAATTTTACACATATTTCGTTAAAAAACTGTGGCTTTAATTATTGCTGATGGAGAATAACGATATTCAAAATCCCAAACCACTGAGAAAAATAATAGAAATTATTGTCGCGATAAAAGTTCTGCAATATTTTGTGTGATACAATAAATTTATGACAAACACGTTCTATTATTATTGAAATAAATTCCTATGATTATTTTCCAGTTAACACTTTGAAAGCGAACTCTAGTGACTAAAGTAATATAGTGTGAGAGTTTGTGACGAACAATGTAATTAATATCACTTTGGTTTTTAATCTATGGTTTGTTTGTTTGTTATGGATTTCGCGCAAAGTTACACGAGGGCTAT